TGCTCTTTCGCTTCTGAAATTTTATAATGAATATCAAATATACATATGTTACTGATATCTTGAAATTTATCTTACGAATGCACACTATAACCTTCCTATGACTCTAATGAGAAGGCAGAAACTTCGAGATGATGAGTAGCAAGCAATCTAACAAAGCTTATACAGTTTGAACAGACGCATATTGCTGATTCATCTCAGTTGGATTTCAGCCTGCTTCATTGGTCTATTCTACCACAGTATAACTTGGTTTTATCTCACAACTGACCTAAGCTTTCGTTTACTTAAAACTGCTCAACGCCTATGAAATCATGTGTCGTTCAGAAACAAAGAACAACCTCATCTAAGAACCTCATCTAAGTCTGATAGGCGTACACAAATACAGAGGCAGTTTTTGTCTAAACATTCGTAGTTCCTAGCGCCCGGTAACCTTTACTTCAGACTACACTTTTTACATAAATAGTTCTAATAATTGATAAAATCCTATCACTTCGGCTACAAAATCAAGTTCTACAAAAACCACAAGTTATATCGACGTGAAATAGTATGATAGAACTGAGTCTATACATCAGTGTGTGATACTTATACGCACTGCTGCCGCTCCTCTGAGTGAGCGTTCATGCTCAGCGACAACAGTCTGTAAATTGACACTGAGGATAAAGTCGCTCGTTATGAGAATTTATTCCATGTAATGACCTTCGTTTATCTTGTTCTTCGATTCTGATTCACTTGAATGTAAGGAATTGATATTAGCTTCCATTATGAATATTTTGCTGTTGTATAGGAAAAATAGCCATCTTGGCGTGTGAATTTAGCATGGAAAGCACTTTTCACTTGTGCTGACGCAGCTCGAGCATCTTGTATTTGTGCTAGTACTAGACGAACAAAACTGTTTGTCTTATGGATGGAGGCGAGCACGAAATGTTTCCTAGTCGATATTAATCCCTTAGTTAGATCATTTGGACTGATCACGCGTAGTGTGCACGAGAAGTGTGGAGAATGACGATGAGCCGGTAACGATCTACTTCTCCGCCCATAATAAACGTTGACGGCTAGAAATGTCGCCGCTAATGAAACTAATATCGATGTCCGATGCTCATGGTATGCACGAATACTACAACATTAAATCTGGTTGAGTTTGACGATGAATGTTCAACTTGCTAAACGCCGTCAAAGTTGAATAAAAAATTATAATAATAAAATTTGTATTCTCGTGGAGCAGAGTGTCACCAGTCTTAGAACTTTACTATAATAAATCATGACAATAATCTAACCGGTAATGGTTGCCACATAGACAATGCAGATCAAAGCTCTTGTGACCTTCTATGAACAAGAATCACACTGTGTCTATTTTGACAGATGGAGCTGCTGTAAACCGTCACTCTTGAGTTTTGCTTTGAAAGCATAGCAGAAATAGCTTAGCACGGTTGAAATACTCACCCTTGGCCGCACGAAGGATGACAATAGAACAACTGTAGCTATTATAGCAAAGCCCACTTGAGATGCATGTAGGGAAAGAGAAGAAAGAAGATCACGCCACATACAAAAACAAATAGTGATCACGCCATACACATTTATCTTCTGTATTATTAGTCTATTAGTTGCTTAGTCATATTTACATAGTCATATCTGTAATTCTTCTTTTCTTCTCTCTGTTATTTGTTTTCCCATCGGTACTATGAGTTACTGCCAGGCATGCACCAGTGCATATCAATGCCGGTGGGCAGCAAACACTTTTCATGTGAGTACTGGTTGAGGATGGAAAGCGCCGCTATATCTTACAGTCGTGCTCTGCAAAATTAGTGCAGCGAAATGGATTTGGAAGATCATTCTGCGGTATCAAATATCTGCGCGAATCTTTTCACGTCACTGATAAAACTATTCAAGAACGTAGATGACGGTCGACATATGAAAACTAAGTACAAAATATTCGCAATGTTTTAGAGAAAACTAGTGAATAGGAGTTTTAGAACATTTGGATAATTGTTGTAAAGAAACTCTGATGACAGTTTTTAGGTGGTTTTAGACAGTTAACACGTTGTCAACTGGCAGTTTTTAAGCAGACAGTTAATTGCCCGTCTTTTTTCTCCTGGGTACTTATCTGTTGATATGCGCTGATGGCAAAATAGGTTAAACACTACGTGCCCACGATAAGCGAGTGTCGAGGTTCGAAACTCGTCAGCGCTCAATTTTTATTATTCTTCTCATTCATTGTAATGTACATGACTTCGAAAGGGGTGTCTGAGTTTTCTAAAAGGTGGTTGGAAAATTAGATTACACCTCAGAGGACGAGGTGGAAGTTGTTTAATTTTGTCTTGTATTATAAGAACCCAAAAAGTTCTCCTGGCAATGAGAGTCAAGACAGAAATTTGACTTTCTACGCAGTTTTCATCTGATATTAAAAAGCTTAGAGACCACAGAAAATACGTTATTGCGGGGACATAGGTAATAAGAGAACGTCCGGGCTCACACGGTTCTCTTCGTTGAGTATGACTATACGAATAAAGCGACCGGCAAGCTATGCTGTAAAACACAAGGTTTTCATAAAAATACTCTCTTGCTCTTGGTGCTCTCCAGTAATCCGGTAACTGGCACTATAAGGCCAAATGGATAGCTAGCATGTATATCAGCCAACAACAAACACCCGTACAATATTCTCTCGTAACTCATTCTTATGTTTCCACCTCTAATCTAAGAAAAAGTTCAAATCGAAATGTGGTTCAAAAGTGGATTACCGGTAGTGACTTCGATGCTAGGCCCCACTACGCGCCTGATACATGCGCAAATCTAAAAGTCTAGAAAAAAGTTTAAGAAGTGTAAAAAGTCTAATTAGATTTTTAACTTCTACATCACTCGAATTTTGAGAATTATAAAGAATTATGGGAACTATTTAAGAAAATCTTCATGAGGTTATAGTTACTAATTATTTTAATTCTGTTAGAATACGCGAGAAATTAGAGTTGACCCTACTTTTAGTTTGTTTTAGATATGTTTCGTTGTGCTATTTTGTTCTGTCTCTATTACAAGTTGAACCCTAAATTTTGGTTTATCCATATACAGAACATTTCACTAGACACACATAAATAGTACAAATATTTTACTGTGCAATTCTTTCAACATTTCCCAATAAAGACCAACAACCTTCCCCGATATAATAAGACAAAATCAAAGTCCACCTATTTACAAAAAAATGTAATCCTCCGCACCATATATTTCTCATAATTCTGCAAATTCTCATAATTCTCAAAACTCCAATGCATTACATAATTCTCAAAACTACAATGCGTTACATCAGTCTCAAAATTCCCATAATTCTCAAAATTCTCATAATCCTCAAAACTCTCATAATTCCCACAACTCCAATGCACTACATAATTCTCAAAACTACAATGCGTTACATAATTCTCAAAACTACAATGCGTTACAGAAGTCTCAAAATTCTCATAATTCTCAAACCTCTCATAATTCCCACAACTCCAATGCACTACATAATTCTCAAAACTACAATGCATTACAGAAGTCTCAAAATTTTCATAATTCTCAAAATTCTCATAATCCTCAAAACTCTCATAATTCCCACAACTCCAATGCATTACATAATTCTCAAAACTACAATGCGTTACAGAAGTCTCAAAATTCTCATAATTCTCAAAATTCTCATAATCCTCAAAACTCCAATGCATTACATAAGTCTCAAAACTCCAACGGGCTACATAATTCCCAAAACTCTCATAATTCTCAAAACTCCAAAATTTTGAGAATTTTGAGAATTATGTAGCCCGTTGGAGTTTTGAGAATTACGTAATGCATTGGAGTTCTGAGAATTATGAATGTTTTGAGGATTATCAGAATTTTGAGAATTTTGAGAATTATGTAGCGCATTGGAGTTGTGAGAATTTTGAGACTTATGTAGCGCTCTGGGGTTCGAGAATCATCAGAATTTTGAGACTTATGTGACGCATTGGAGTTTTAAGAATTATGAGAATTTTGAGAATTATGTAGCCGGTTGGAGTTTTGAGAATTATGTAATGCACTGGAGTTTTGAGAATTAGGAGAGTTTTGAAGATGATGAGAATTTTGAGAATTATGTGGCCCGTTGGACTTTTGAGAATTATGAGAGTTTTGAGGATTATGAGAAGTTTGAGAATTATGAGAATTATGTAGCCGGTTGGAGTTCTGAGAATTATGCGAATTTTGAGAATTATGTAATGCACTGGAGTTTTGAGAATTATGGGAGTTTTGAGGATTATGAGAATTTTGAGGATTATGAGAATTTTGAGAATCATGTAGCCCGTTGGAGTTTTGAGAATTATGAGAATTTTGAGAATTATGTAATGCACTGGAGTTTTGAGAATTATGGGAGTTTTGAGGATTATAAGAATTTTGAGGATTATGAGAATTTTGAGAATCATGTAGCCCGTTGGAGTTTTGCGAATTATGAGAGTTTTGAGGATGATTAGTATTTTGAGAATTATGAGAATTTTGAGAATTATGTGGCCCGTTGGAGTTTTGAGAATTATGTAACGCGTTGGAGTTTTGAGAATTATGGGAGTTTTGAGAATTATGAGAATTTTGAGAATTATGTAGCCCGTTGGAGTTTTGCGAATTATGAGAGTTTTGAGGATGATGAGAATTTTGAGAATTATGTGGCCCGTTGGAGTTTTGAGAATTATGAGAGTTTGGAGAATTATGTGGCCCGTTGGAGTTTTGAGAATTATGAGAGTTTTGAAGATTATGGGAATTTTGAGAATTTTGAGAATTATGTAGCGCATTGGAGTTTCGACATACATAATTCGGATTTCGCGGATCTGGCGATAATTCATCGAGTCGTGTTCTGTTTCAAAATGGATCGTCTCCGAGCGAAAATGAGTGAAGAATTGTCGATTATGTATTAATTTTTCAAAGTGGTCGGTGCCAAGCCTCAACATTTCATTTTATGTTTGACATTTTGTGATATTCTGAACGACAAGACAGTTCTTGCGTTTTGGGATGAACTGAAAGTAATGGAAGATCTGGAAATGGTCAAGGAAATTGAGGCGGTTACATTTACATCTTTCCCGAATTTGGACGAATGTGATAATGATGAAGCATTACAGTCATATTTGAATCGAAAGGCTCGAAAAAGTCGGCGACGTGTGTTCACGAGTATCATTCAAAATGAAGCCCAACCGTTTCATCCATATGATGCAATGATTCGTATGCCACCGGTTGATTTTGACGTCCTGTGTGGTTTATTAAAAAATTATCATGAAAAACGACGGTGGTATTGGGGAATAATCAATAAAACGGAACAAGAAGCAATGTTAAAACAACTGATTAAATGGCGTCCTGCAGTTGATAAAAGTAAAGAGAAGGAAAAAGACAGACATTCTTCACCCGAAATTACAAGTGAAGGACTTGTCAGAGGAGTCAAGAAACTTTCCAAACAACTATAGTTTCTCTCGAACAGAAGCTGACCAAGGACGACATCGCCATCCAAAAACACAAGAACTCTTTGCCTTTTTCTCCTATAAAACTTTGTTTTAAGAGGGATGTGATCCTCCTGATTTTAGATTTAATAAACTCAGCAGTTTGACCGCATTTTGTTAAAAGAGGACGTCATTCTAAACTTCAGCTGTGACATTGATGACAAATCGATAAATCTCGGTGACTATAGTTCCTCATTAACGAGAGATTTCAAGACATTTAACACATTATCGCAATGTATTACTAGTATTGGGCTAAAGACGCGCTCATGGTCAGACTTGTACATAGTATTTTCTGGTAAACTTATTTTGTTTTACCAAGGAAATGTTTTTTTCGTTAAAAATGACATGCTCAAAATCAGCGCCTTACTTGTGTCATAAGGCTTTTTCGATGGTTGAACTTACGAGAGTAAAAGTCAGACCCGGGTTCGGCCCCAAACGTGATTCGTCCATCTCTGTGGAGACAAGAGAAAGAGTGCAGTTTGTAGCGTCTAAACACTGAGTTTTATATCAAGATGAGCAGAGATTCAGAAATCAGCCTAGATCTGCTTCGTAATGTAACTCGCCTATGCTTTAAATTTTAAGGCGCTCCAAATTCGGAGTTACAGCGCTATTTTACTTTCGATTTCTTTATACATGGCTGGATAGCACGAAAGCTAAGGATCAGGAAAATCAAAATATTTTTGGCCTTCCCAGCGCACGTTATCAGGAAGAAAAATTCAAAATACGGAGAGGGTCTCTTTTTTCGAAAACTCGGTAGCTTTTTTTAATATCACCGTTCCAGAGCAGTTTGAAACTTCGACAAGTTGTGTTTTGGACTCAACGTTAAAAACTGATTTTGGACAACTACATTTTGAACTTTCCACTTTAAGTGGGATTGCAGGCGAGAAATCTAAGTTAGAGCGCTAAAAGCAAAAGGGGATCAGTTTGTAACCTATCTAGTTTTTTATGTTAAGAGATGGAAAACTCCTTCATATGCCATTCGAACGGCCATGAATCGGACAACAAGAGTACATTCCCTTTTTCCTATAACTCTTTTCCCTCGAGAGATATTCGATTATTACTGAAAATTGGGGAAAAGTTGTCCACAATGGGGCACCCAATTCACGAATAAAACGGACAGTTTTGGCACTAGAAGACTAAACACTTAGTTATGTATGTAGAAAAACATGAGAAATTTGATGGAAACATTTTCACATTTTTAGAGATCCTTCAGGGGGTTTTCTAGAAAACCGGCTTTTTAAAGGACCTCTTTCTAAAATCAAGTTTCTAAAAATTAGTCTAGGTCGATAGAGAATTAAATTCTGATCAAAATGACATCAAAAGAGATCTTATCCGTCTTTTGAAGTTTTCTTCCTGATAACGTGCACTAAGAAGGTGGAAAGTATTTTGGTTTTCTTGATCCGTAGCTTTCGCGCTATCTAGCCATGTATAGAGAAATCGAAAACAAAATAACGCTGTAACTTCGAATTTTGAGCGCCTTACTTTCAGGGTTTCTGTGCATGAATCCAAGTACCTAGATGGAAAGTATTGTCGGTGAAAAAGTTCTTGCACTGAATGTTCGTACGAATCTAAAACCTTAGATTCGTTTTCAACATGCTAAGAACCCGAATGTATTTCGAATTTTGTTTATTCATTTAGTTTGGATTCGTTACGAACAAGAATTCGTCACTGCATGTTTGGAGCAGATACTACTTGGCTAAGTCTCAATTTCGACAAGATCACTGTATAAAATTTGGTGTGTTTCGAAGCTACGCTAGCGTAATGACGAAATGAAAAAAGCGGATATATGCAATTGATAGTGGTATCGTGCTTCTCTGCTCAAGTGAATAGTTGTCTATATTATATACACATATTAAGGAGTAGACCTCAAAGGGTAAAATATCAGTCACTGTGATGGGAAATAGCATGTGCTCACAAAAGTGAATCTTTTACTGGTGATGAGTGTGGCGGAGCGACTTTTCGTAGAAAAATGAATAGTAGCTAAAATCAGTGGCTCATACTCTTGGGTATGCTATAATAACAAGTGGACGTCTGTCTCGGAATACTGGCATGCTTCAAACCTTTGGTAACCGTTATATCTTTTTCTAATACAGCTTCCAGATTTATTTTCATTTTCATTGAATTTATAAGCGTGTTTTACTATCAAAATAATCTATTTGTTTTACGTTTATCATCTTATCATTCAATAGAAATTGTAGAGCTAAATGGGGCGATTCGGTAAGACTTTTGACTACTCCGTACTAATTCATCAACATTTGGATGAATTTTGAAGATTTTTTGCGCGCGATTTTGTAGACGAGTAGATGAGTATCTGCTCTACCTACTATGTTAAAATCTCCTGGAAAACTGGTCAGTTGAGCTATCTGTAGGAGGTTTACCGATTCACCTCATGCCTATTCCTAATTCGCCCCAATGGGGTGATTTGGTAAAATACTATAGACTCGGTGGGGCGAATGAAGAATTCCATGCATTTTCTCGAAAGCGAGACACACGTAACACAACAAGGAAAACAATGATTGACAGAAGTTCGGAACAATGTGTTACAAGTGTTGATGTTTTATATCAATTAAAATCAAAGGAGGTATTAAAAGAAAACAAGAAAGCGAGTAAAGCATCTTCAACAAAAAAGCAGAAAAGGTCATCAGCGACAAAGAGTGCAAGATCAGGATCTCAACTTCTATTGAATTATGTACTGCTGCTGGTACATCAAGTGTTTCTCATTCATTTTCAACATATACAACGACAAGCAATTGTAGCTACATGAATTTAACATCATCGTCAGGTAATAATGATCAATCGTCATCATTACATTACTGCCAATGTGCAGCACCATTTGATCCATTACATACTATATATTGGAATTGTGCTAGATGCTCAAACGTTATATGTTTTTATTGTATACAGTCGTTAACATTCATGCCAGCACGATTTCTTTGTTGTTATTGTGAATTGGCTAGCCATGATTTACCTCCCCTATATTAAGAAAAACATTCATACTTACACATCTTCCAAATCAACAGTTTTCTTTACCTTTAACAAACAATAATATCTGATTACTTTTCTATAGTCTATTTTGGTTTTCTCTGTACCACTTTTTTTTGGAAACATCAGATAAAATGACTGTGATGGGTGAAAAATATCCGGGTGTCTGTTATATGTAATTCTCTCGGATTCTCTCGAATTTGAAATGTCATGTATGGGGGAGAAAAGTGGACTTATCAGTAGTCGTCCTCTGTTGTAGTAATGAGAACAAAAGTTCAGAATAGTCTTCAACCTCCGTTACTCATGTCAAAAGACATCTGTTGTGAATTCTGTATGAAACAAATATAAAATACTATCCTGTAATACCTACTTTGAACGAATTCGTAAAAGAAACTTTGCTCAGATCCCATTTCAACTACAGGAAACGTTAATATTCTTACAGATTAAGATTTTCAATCATTTTTCAAGAGCGCTACTACGGTAGATGGCAACAAAAGAAAATGTGATTCTGGCAATATGTTTCATTAAGTTTTCTAAGCTCGATCGATCGCATTTGCCTTTGCTCTCTTACGAGATACTATTGTCAAGCGTTCATCGCTTTTTTGAATAAAAGAACATTTTCATGGTTACTTTTTGCTGATGACTCTTTCTTAGGTGGTTTTTTGCAATCTTGATGATCGGAAGTCCAAACAAATTTGTTTTCTTGTGGTCATTGTAGGCGATGTAAACCGTTTCTGTTGTATTAGGTAAAGGATTATGTAATTTAATGTAAAATGTTGTGTGAAGAATTAGAATTTTCTAACCAAAAAAAAAAAAAGAAAAAGTCCAAACAAAATTGAATTAAAAACATTTTGATCCGTTCAGTTTGAAGAGCATATCGAGTTCCATGTGTGACAAATTTTCAGAAAGACCTTAATTAAAAGAGTTACGGATTTTTTATTTCAAAACTCTCAAAATAACTCAATCATTGACATAAAAAATTCGTAACGCTCTAAAATGAGGCCTGTCTGACATTTGTCACATATGGAACTCGATATGCTCTTCAAACTGAATGGATCAAAATGTTTTTAATTCAATTTTGTTTGGACTTCTAACCATCAAGATTCCAAAGAACCACCTAGGAAAGCGTAATCAGCAAAAAGTAACCATGAAAATGTTCTTTTATCCAAAAAAGCGATGAACACTTGACAATGGTACCTCGTTAATAAAAAGTTAGGTAAGACATAAAGCGTACATGCCCGAACGGAATACCTCTTATATTCTCACTGTTTTGGACTGAATTTGTCTGCTGTTCCAGTTCCATTAGTGCTGACGTTAAAGACTGCAGATGTCAATTATTGAATAGGCCTGGGCGAGACGCGAGACGACGAGAGTCTGTAAAATGGCATGATTTTGTTGAGATTTGGTTTTTCACCATCGAGGCGCTACTTTACTTTAAAAAAATATTACATAGAAAAAAAATTTGATTTTGACTGAGAAATTTTATAACGCTTTCACAAACAGGTAACAAACATTTGTTACCCCTCCTGCTGCAAATATCGAGCTCAAGACCCTGAAATGCTTCATAATAATTCATGTCTTTGATACCTGCATGATACCGTCGCATGCTCTTTGGTACACTGCGGTAATTTTCCGAATACTAGCAATCAAAGAAGAGAATATCGATGATAGATTTTCAAGATTGTTAATTTTCTTGGAGACTACAAGGGTGGTTGACAGTCGGTATTCAAACTGTCTCTCTTTAATTCTAGTCAAAGTCCATGTACTTCGACAAATTCGAGAAAAAGTTAGAAATTTTTTAATTTTGTCCTTCTTACTTTTAAGTGCCGCTGTTTACAGACAGTATTAAGTGCAAAAAGTTCGTTTTTGAGAAATGCAAGCAGCGGCAACTTTACAAAATCTGAATATACCTTCAGGCTTTGCGGAGTGAAACAACTGGCGGAAAGATAAAGAGTTAATAAGAGCTATTTGGCGCCAAATTTGAGTTTCTTTTTTGCGCTCGAGTCTGTTTCTCTCACAATTGGTGGGACGATTCTAATTAGAGCTTTTTCTCAAGTACTCATGCAAGAAACTGCACTTTTTCGTATTAGTTTTGAGGAACAGAATAGCTCTTTGATTAGTTTTAAGCAGCCATTTTGAATTTCTATTGATTAGTACACAGAATCAGTTAAACCGTAGTTTATTCGTAATATAATACTTTTCAGTGCTGAAATAGTACACTGACGAGGGAAGTACCCCAACTGATAAATCGCTTTTTGAACGGAACCTAGTGGACTATACGTAGTCGACGATGCTGATTCCGAATATCACCATGACGGCTACTGCTAGACCTTCAAAGGCCGGTTTTCTGGAAAACCAGTTTTCGAGAAACTCTAAAGAACAACCAAAAGCTTCTTAATGAGGTGTAATTGTGGTCCATAAATTTCTGATTAAGACGGGGCAGCTTTCAGCTCTACATGACCTTTACTTGGAAAGTTATAGAATTCACAAGAAAAGCCCTAAATGTTCATTATCACCTCAGAGCTACAGAAAGAAAAAGGAAAAAGGAATTTAGGGCTTTTTTTGTAAATTCTATAACTTTGCAAAAAAAGGTCGTGTAGAGCTGGGAGATACCTCAGATACATCAGAAATTTATGTAATATCTCAATATCTTAGGTGTTCTAGTATATCTACAATCTTCTTACTTACACGGATATTTAAGATATTCACGACATTCGGGATATTTAAGTTACCAAGTTCTGCTCGACAATATCCTAGAGTTATTCAAAAATGCCAACCTGCATAATATTCTCGAATGAACATGAAAAAAATGCTCGATTCCTGTTTCAAAACAGTAGGATATGTGGGAGTTGTTTTCTATATTTACCTCGCAAGCAATATTAATGTCTCAATTGTAATCAAATGTTGACAAAACGTTATGCATACCGATGCACTTACTTGTCCTTGATCACTAAGCGTAAAGTCTTCACCTCTTTAGTCAACTGACAAAATAAATACGGAATAAATATATTTTGTCGTCAAATTAAGGACAAGATTCAGCTTGCATTCCAGCTTTACACAAGAACAGAACAAACGCCTAGAATATATCTCCATACAGAATCGGTAAGTGCATCGATGTGCAGAACAGCGACTTTATTTCTTATTTGATTTAACAAATGACGTTTTCCATAAAATCTCAAACGGCCTACTTTTGTCATATCCCACGTAACATCTCGAGCTGTTCCTATTGTATTTTAGAAGGAAACATTAATCAATGTCTTCTGGTTTTCGTAGAGACTTGAAGGTGCTGGTATTTACGAACGACGTAGAAATTGCTGCAAAGGTTGAAACGCACCTCCGTTCATTGGGATATCAAGCAACTGTTATGGCTTTAGAGAACTGCGCCAAATTTGATCAGATAGTAGAAGATTTACTGCGCCGAGAGGCGTTTGATGGAGTGGCTATTGGTGGTAGGATCAACCAACGTCATCCACAAGCTCAGCTAGATGATGAGACATTTCACTGGTTCAACAGATTAGTAAACATAATTCACCAGCGCGCATCAAAATCTAAAATTATTTTGAATAAAGACCTGGCTGATTTGGAACCGGCCATTAAACGAGTATTCGTCTGACACGTATTTTGTTGTTTATAATTATAGATCTTTTAGAAACCGCAATAAAATGTACGATTATTCTGTTATCTACGGTGTCTTCTAATCGCTATTAAACATAAACTTGAGAACTATATTAGTTATAATAAATTTGAAGACAGATTCGAACAGCGTGACTTGGATAGTTATACATAGATTGTCGAGAAAGCTGAAACTTAAACCTACTCCCTCAGAAAATGAGCTTTCCAAAACTCCCACATATCCTACTGTTTTGAAACAGGAGTCGAGCATTTTTTTCATATCCATTCGAGAATATTATGCAGGTTGGCATTTTTGAATAACTCTAGGATATTTCGATTTTATAGGATATTGTCGAGCAGAACTTGGTAACTTAAATATCCCGAATATCGTGAATATCTTAAATATCCGTGTAAGTAAGAAGATTGTAGATATACTAGAACACCTAAGATATTGAGATATTATACGATATCTAGAGGATTTAGGATATCTAGGATAATTAGATTAAGAATAAAATAATTGTCTTACTTGTTCACATAATTTCGTGTCGATATCATATTGTTTTTCTTGCATTCGATGTAGGACATTCTGATCGATGGCATGTACAGGATGTTTTATTTAAAAAACCGATATGCTAGCATCGGTCTTAGGTAGAAAAACGATCTAATTATCTCAGATATCCTGTAATACTTTAATATCTTAGGTGTCCTAGTATATCTACAATCTACTTACTCACTAGGATATATTTAAGATATTCACGATATTCGGGATATTTAAGTTACCAAGTTCTGTTCAAAATATCTTATAAAATCGAACTATCGTAGATGTCCTAGTGTTGAATCTACTCACTCATTAGGATATTTAAGTTCCGTTGTGAGTGTCTAATAAGAAAGGCACAATTCCTACGACATTCACAATAGCAGGATATAAGAACCTGCAAACTTGCCAATGTAACTATCCTAATGAGTGAGTGGGTTCTAAGTATACTACCATATCTGGGAAACTTAAGATATTTAGAATATTGAGGGCATTTAGGATAGAAGTAACGTTCATCATTCGGATTCCGTTATCGCTTGACTGGAGAGAAATCGCTAATATCAATTTGTTTCTATAGAATTAAATAATTAGCTTACTTACCACGTTATATTAGGTTCACTACAGTGTATGTAATAAACTAAGTTTAATTGTAGATGACGAAAAATCGGATCTTTATTCATGAAAAACAGTTATACATCCGGTGATGGATTCTTTATGATCGTTAATTGAGAAAGGGTTGTCAGCTCTTCAACCAAAGATTTTAGTTTTCTTGTATAAACAGCCTGTTATACGTTATTTATTATGTTTCATGCCTCTAGATAAAAGCAAATAAATTTGTATGCGTTTTGTGACTAATATTTTCTAATAGCACGTGAGGCAATCCGACGCGAAGAAGAGTCATAATTCAAAAGTGCGACGCGCCACTCTGCATTTTCATTTGTTTAAAGCAGCGTTTCACGAGAGAAAACTGGATCTCAATCGAAATAGTGTCGAAATTTCTCAGAAAATAGTCAACAGACGCACAGTTATCGATGGTAAAATGGAATTCTGACAAAAAGAATTTCGCCATCTGAATTTCGACAATGTCCAAATTCTAGTAGAATTTCGACATGTTTCGGAATTCTACTAGAGGTTGGACAACATTGTCGAATTTCTACAATTGTTGATATTCTTATGGAATTACGACAGAATTTTTTTTTTGCTGGACATTTTATTGTCCATTTTCCATCAGAATTTGGACAATATCTATTCAAAAACAATACATATAGAGGTATACATATAATTACTAAAGTTTTAATTTATATGACATCTAGTGATGTGAATGCCATGATCAGTATTTCTTTTCAAGTAGACATTTTTTTTATGTTTTTAAAACTTTGTATTTTAATCGAAACGAGGTCATTGTTCGATACCCTTGACATTTTCTTTGGAAGTATGTGATGATGATTTTGTATTTCTTTTCGTTATCACATCGTCTTTGTCATCGTCTATCTTCGTCTTGTCTATCTTTGTTAGCGCATGAACTAAATCATTATTCTTTTCGTCGTCTATTATGTATATCCTTTGTTTTGCCTAGATCTAATCATATATAGTCTACATATATATATTTCTTATCGTTCTAGTCGACTAACATATATTGTGAATGTAGTTGAGAAGTATATTGTCGTATTGCCGGTGGAAAGTCGACAATAAAACAAAAATATAAATCACACACGCTGTCCAAATTCTGATGGAAAATGGACAACAAAACCCCCCGCAAAAAAAATTCTGTCGTAATTCCATAAGAATTTTGACAATTGTAGAAATTCGCCAACGTTGTTCAAATTCTAGTAGAATTTCGGCATGTTTCAAATGTTTCAAAATTCTACTAGAATTTGGACATTGTCGAAATTCTTTTTGTCGAAATTACATAGAACCTTATCGATAATATGTCTTTCGGGTCATATTACCAGAAAAATAACTCATCTAATAAAGCATGAATCGCTCTTCAACACGAACTACTTAGCGCAGACAGAAGATATCGTCTGTTTCAATGAAAAAGACAAAATAAATATGGTAGGGTAGCGCTATGAAGCCGATTTCTCCTCTCGATATTATCTGTATTGCTTTCCCTCTCTATCTCTTATCGCTTCTGTCTCAGTTTATTCGACTATTGACATATGAGACAGGTGCTGTGTGTCTCTCGTTTCTTTGTTTCTAAATAAATAATAGAAAAAGGAACACAAAATTCTCAAGCTTTGTGAAAGCAGAAAGCTGCTTAAGTGCTCAGATTCTGCTGAAAAGGCACCGCTGTTTTGAAGCTTGACTTTTGATACCCTGTAAAAAGCTCACATTGGTCAATTCAAAAGTTCCACTATTATATGTGCACCTACTATCCATTTATTTCCCAATTAAAAATAGTAGTTCTCGATAAAACATAAGTAAGTTAGTGGTATTGTTAAAGATTTTTATTGCGATTCGTTAGATATTCGAAAATGTTTAATGCACATTTTCCAGCATCCTGTAATGATCGTGAGTTCACCAGTGGTCTTGGCAATACATATGTATACCAATTTGGACCTTCACAAATATTGCCCAATGCCCACAAATTTCGAATACAGGTACCGTTGGCGCTGATCGGATTTTGCTGCCGGTTCACATCGATACCACCGGGATGAAAGTCACCGTTTAAAAAGGGTCGAATGAGTCCTCGTTTCAGCATGTTTTGAATAAGCGGAGATTCATCTCGATGTGGAATAAATTGCTCAATCATACCTTTCACTAGAACATCAGCATGAACTTCACGCTTCATTGATGATATGACAAATGTAGCACTAGTTGCGTCTGTTCGAACTTTGGGATGTGATGCGGAAGCAAACTCAACTAAGCCACTTCGTAAAAGAGCTAATAACTGTTCATTTCTCTCCTTTGGGGGACCAACAGCCATACGATTCATTATAGGACAAATCTCTTTGAGAAAACGATGATGAGATTCTGGCGTGAGGCCACGAAAATCTACGACATATCGAATTGTATCTCTTAGATCACGCAACACATCGGTAGCTGCTTTTACTGCACTGGTCACGTTTCCCTTGTATGCTTCGTCGATATCATTTTCCAAAAAGTGGATAACCCACAAAACATATGACTCGAAATCAGCGAATTCGACATTTTCCAATGGATAATATAAGTGATGAATGATCTGACGAGTTTTTTCATCCGGTTCATACTTGTCGAGGGGAATGTCCCAAGTGTTGTTTAGTGTACAGTCGTAGACAAAACACATTTCATAGACTAGAATGGGCAATAGGTCTGTATCAAAATCGAGTTGAGGCCCGCTCTTTTCTCGAAGTTGATCAATCACTGATCGAGTAAAAAACCGTGCTTGATATTGACCACCAACACCCTTTTCATTCTTCCCGCGAGCACTAAATGGCAAACAATTTCGAGAATAAATGTAGATTTTTGCTGGTTCCTGTCCCGATTTAACGTAAGTCAATTCCTGCCCATCGTCACATTGAACAAAGCGACCACCCCGCTCATATGTCAATTCAGATAAAATATCATGACAGGACAAACCGAGTCCCTGAATGGCTACTCTGGCTCCCTTTTGGACTGTCTGTAATTGAGTTAGTGGATAGCAACGAAGGTATTCCAAATGAAGATTGCGAGATCGGTTATCTTTGACAAAATGGAGGTACTTCTTTTCAACCTTGTCCAAACGATTCTGACCGTGTCCCGGTGTCAATACAGCTGCCCCAACAGCAAACGAATGATCACCATCGAGAATTATTCGAAGGTTACCGTCGTCTAATTGTATGATGTCAGTGACAGTATTGTTGTAGTAGTGAACTCGAATTCCTGTGGGTAATTCTTGAATTAGATAATCATTTACCCATTTGAGATATTCGCCTAGTATTGAGCGGGGTAGATAGTCATTTTCTTGAATTTCTTCACTTGCCTTATCAGTTGTAATTAAATACTGATTATTCGGCATTCGTCGATATCCTCGTTGATTTGCCCATTTAAGAAGTCCTGGTCCTGTTCTCAATGGGCCATAGTTTTTTACTGTGTCATCGCCGAACATTGTGATTTGACAGGCAACTGTATTGATCAGCAAGTGTGCATTTTGTTTTGATGAATGTGTTCCTTGTCCAGGATAGAGGCCGGGATCAATTAGATAAAGATCCATGTCATAGTTGTGTTTGTGTCGATCATAGATAGCCGTCAAACGTTCGAGAATGCCGAGACCTCTTGGTCCGAGACCAACGATGGCCAACTTTGCACTTTCCTGATTCGAGGAATTCAAGAGAGCAAATCTATTGCTCCTATCGCTATCATATATGTTTTGACATGATTGTAGTTTGTTGCTTGCAACAGTAGTACGCATGATGTTTCCTTCCAATTTAGTAGTGAGACTCGAAAGCTTTGAGAGGAATTATTCTTCGCAATTCTTGATATAGATATTGAGTGTAACAGGGTACTGAGTGCAGAGGCAAACAGTATTCTGGATAAATCAATGAGTCAGTTTGCTTTATGCATCACGAACACATACTATTAAATATTTGTGAAACATTCAAACAAAAGTAGAATGAAAAGATAATATTGACTTTTGCTCAGTGACAGATAAAAAAGAAATGAAAAACACTATTATTTGAACATCTTAATCACTCAATTTAATTTTAATAGTGAAAACAACAAGTATGCTCGATCAATTCCGTTTTTTTATTACACTGCCCTATGTACAAGCATTATTTTATACTTCGTCTGATACAGTAAAGGTTTACTTCACACCGATGACCAAACTTTTGTTACTTCAATTTCTCAGGAAGTATACATCAGCGTACGAAAGTTCTGTATTGTCACGCAATCAAAATTATTTCTGTATCTCTTTTCGTAAAACCGTCTCAAATATCCTGTCATACAGTTATTAATTTCCATCGTATCCTTATCGTTCTTGGCCTATATATATATATATCCTATACCAATTCTCTATATACTCTTCTCGTTTATTCTGTTCTCAAATAAACCTTGACCGAACTAGAAATGATTGAAACAAGCACAGTGTTAGCCAAATTAAAATTTTAATATTCGGTGAAAACATATGTTTAGTTGGTTTCTTTCTTTTCAGAATGAAAACGAAATAAAGACTTGTATGCTTAATAAACATCTAAAAGAACAGTAAAAGACAAACGGGTTGTTACCGAACATACATTACTTAAGCATCTATATTTTGTTCAATGACTCAGAGAATAGGTAGAAATAGATACAGAAGTAAGAGGTACAAATATGGCTACGGTACACAATATGCCTCGACCCTTGTTTGTTACATGCATGTAGGATGTGTGGAAAACAGCCTGGTGACGGATACATTTACATTTTTCGTAGACTTTCGGATTTCGAAGGTAAAAGGGATTTAGTTCTTTGATACTGCAAGCGAACATCGTTATATTTCGATATGTTACTTTGATCACTGTGCACGATGAATTAAGGAAATTTGGGTTCAAACACGTTTCACATTTGTATTTCTGCTCTTCCGGTTGATATTGTTGCTTGCCGCTTGACCCAAGCAAAAACGGCCCAATTTTTTGGGTTATTTATCTAGATTCAACTCCACGTACATCTAGATGCACGTGGAACTGAATCTAGATAAATAACCCAAAAAATTGGATCGTTTTTGCTTGGGGATAAAAGCACAAAAGTATATTTTATCACGCCAAAAGATTTATGTCGTGCATATGTGTGGTGATGTGCACATTTTATAGTGTAATGAAAACTAAACGTAAAAAATTATGTAAGTCGGAAAGAAAACACATGCCTGATCGTCAAGTCGCCAACCATAAAAGAAACATTCACAAAATGACGATATCGGAATTGCTGGAGAATCGAAATACTGAAACAAATAAGACGTGTAAGGTGTTGTTGATATAGAAAAACGCTAATTATTTTATAACGCCTTGAAACTCAGGCGTTTGTAAGTGAATATGGTGTAGTCATGTACTTTTGATTTTTTGTGCTAACATAGAGGTTTTACATGGTAACAATCACAGTAATTTGGGATAAATTTGGAGTGAACCACCGTCACCATCATCTGAGCCCTTTTCTCGTTCATGAAACAAATATAAAGAGTTAATCAGATGGTGTAATAAATGTCATGTGGAATTACAAACTGAATTTAATGTTTGATCAGTCTTCTTTTTAACAATTGAAAACTTTTGTTTATTGATTATATATTGCCGACCCATATTGGTAGGATCGATCAGAACTATTTGATTCTAAAAATATTGAAAGACAGAATTAACTAAACAAAACTTTAAGAACTCTCATCTTCAAAGAAATGGACCTTAACAGAAAGATAGCTTCATAATTAATCCCTTCAACAGAAATTTTCCAATTTCATCATTTTGCAGAATATAGGATATCTAGAATATTTAGATTGTTCCCCTTAACATCCTAAATATCATTACAATATTCACGATATTAGGATATAAGAACCTGCAGACTTGCAAATCTAACTACCCTGGTGAGTGATTAGGTTCTAATAGAACCCACTCACTTATGCAGAAAAGTCATCGAAGTTTTTCTTTATTATGATATCGCTGAAGAAGACAATAGAATAGAAGTATACTCCTTTTAGAAAGAATTTACTGCTTTAAGTTGAAGGGATTAATTATGAAGCTATCTTTCTGTTAAGGTCCATTTCTTTGAAGATGAGACTTCTCAGAATTTTGTTTAGTTAATTCTGTCTTTCACTATTTATTTTCCTAAAAAGACTGATGTTTGACCACAAAAGACTCACCTTTTTTCCTGAAAAACTCGATGTTGCTCCATCAGAACTTCATCTTTTCTCCTCAAAGATTTCGTTTTTCCTCGCAAGACCTTCAACTTTTTCCAGAAAAACTCGATGTTTCTCCACAAGAACTTCATACTTTTCCGTAAAAAAACCGATGTTTGTCCATAAAAACCTCATCCGTTTTCCTGAAAAACTTGGAATTGGAAGGAAACATCATGCGTACTACTGTTGCAAGCAACAAACTACAATCATGTCAAAACATATATGATAGCGATAGGAGCAATAGATTTGCTCTCTTGAATTCCTCGAATCA